GCCTGTCCCCTCTTCTCAGATGCGAGGGCTAAATGATGATGCCCTGTGCGTACCGAGGCTGCGCTGGTTGCTGCTCATTTGGCAGTGCTGGTGGGGGCTGCAGGCAGCAGGCTCCTCTTCCTTCCCAGCTGCCTGCTAGGCACTGGTCCAGCAGTAACTGGATTTTCACCTGCAGAGTCCTCAAGGCCTGTCTTGATCTACTCATCTAAGGATGGCTTTCTGGTTTAAGAGGTGGTTCTAGAAGTTGGTTTGTTTTTTAATTAAGTGGGCCATTACATCTCTGTAATGGTTCAACTCTCTTCTGTCCACGTGAGAAATTGGTTCAACTCTCTTCTGTCCACATGAGATATAGTGGGGAAGAAGGCAGGATCCCCAGCCAAAGACGGTTGTCTCCAGGGAAGCCAGGTCCTTCCTGCTGTGGTTAGGGAAGGATCAGCACTTCCACCAGCAGGTCCCAGCAAGTGCAACTGCTCCGTGTGGACCAAACATTTTCTATTGCCTTAGGCTCCCCCACTGAGGGAGCCAATATGCTCTCTACTACAAGCATAGCTGGGTGTACCCCAAATTTATCAACAGCAGTCAGGGGGAGCTGGGCTACCCAGACACAACTAACCTCTCCCTCCTCTAAAAATATACAGCCAAAACCAATCCCACATATACATTTCATATATACTATATTGGCATCTAACCTCAAGTGATTCTTGAGTTTCCTCAACCAGCTAAAAGACCTACAAATTTCAGAGACTTTACAAAACAATCTGGTGACCAAAAAAAGAATCTCATTCCACAGCCATATTGGTTCATCCTGAGGACTGCAATCACATTGCTTGTTGGCCCTGAGAAGCTATTTTGGCTGAAAAAGTGTGAGAGGCCAGCAGATGCTTTCCAATGCTGGACTCTGTAGATGTGTATTTGTTCTCAGAACTCTGTACAAAATCGTCAATAATGAAAACCCACAAAACAAAGTTAGAATATCTACATTTAGGTGTCACCCAATAACAAAGTTTCATCATTTTGCAAAAATGAAGGGAAAGTAGACTAATTTCAAAAGAAGCAATAGTACAAAATCAATTGATCAAGCCCCACACAGACTCCAGAGAGCACAGCCTGACTGTGCAAATCTAGTAGGAGATGTGACTCACTCTTTAAGAGTGGGGTTGGGGGCAGTAGGAGCAGCTCGTATCAGTCATCTGGAAACATCACTGGGTCTTTGACCGTCTCTCAACACTCAGCTCTGTCTCCACGGGAGGACATCAGGGACTTGTGCTGAAATTCCCACTGTGCCCTTTGGTACGTCCTTCCTTGTATATCTGAACCCACAGAAACACATTCCCTGACAGCTGCCACCTGCCGTGTGTCTGTATTACTCTTCCTCCCTGTGTTTGCATCTGTGAGTCTTGACACCCTCAGTCACTCCAGGTCTCTGCTCAGCGACAATTCAAAATGAAAAGACTTCTCCATCTGTGCTTCCCCTCCAAACTCCCATCTCCCCCATCTGTACATTTTTCAGAAGCAAATCAGTACATTACTTGGCTGTTCCAACGAACTTGCATCCATTAATTTAAAAAAAAAAAAAACTCAAATCAGGCCTGCATGCCCTCTGCCCCAATCCCAATATCTTTGTGCTTTTTCTTTTTTCTTTTTTTAAAATTCAACATGATCCCAGAGATCAAGAGTAAAACCCACCAGTGAAACTTCTAGATCAGCCAACTTTGGTTGAGAAGATTTTGCATTAGGAGGAGTTGTCCAACAATGTACTGGGATGTTGACAAGAGAGTCATGAATCAGATGGCCTTGGAGGAAAGGGTCGCCAAGGTCTTTCCAACTTAGAGTCACGAGGTCACATGGATTTCTTTTGTGTAGTCTGACCCTGCTACATAAGCCACAGCCCTAGCTGGGCTGGGCCTTGGGCTCTGCTTAGATGGAGGTCTTGCTTGTTAGAGAGAAACGACTCTTCTACAACACTGTTCCTCAAAATAGCATCTACGAATCCCTGAAAGTCCTAGGGGGTGGGGGAGAGGAGGGAGGAGGAAGAATCCAAGAGTTCCAAAAGGAGTTTTTAATTTTTTTTCATTCTGACAACTTTAAAGAAATAAATAAAATCAACGTAAGAACATTCTGAGTCATGGGAATGACCTTATAGTCAAGTAATGCCATCTGGTTTCAAAGTCTGAGTTTCTCTCTGTGTTTACAGTGTCATTTGTGCTGATTGAGTACCTCAAGTGAAAGAGAAGAATTAATGTGTTTTTCAGACTAAGTCTGGTGTCCCCTAGGGGTCTGCAGACAGAGTGTTCAATTTTGAGAAATACTGCTACAACATGTGAAAGGGGAGGCTTGCAGAGAGTGAATGCATGTCACCCTGACCTTGACAGTGACTCATTTGTGGGGTCTCAAAGGTTGAGAGGTGAGCCAGTGTCTGGGGGACATATAGGTCTGCATGCTGTGAGTATGTGCAGGTAGGCTTCCACAGGTCCTGCCTGCCCTTTGGAAATTGGCCAAGAAAAGCTACCACATATAAATCAAGCCAAATAATTGACCAATCCATCCTTGCAATCGTAATACTAAATCTCAAAGGCACAAGAGTGTTCAGTGATGCACAAAACAGGCACTGCTCCTTCCTCCCAAGGAAGGGAACAGAGGAGAAACTTGTGAGGAAAAGCCACCTGCACATGCTCACTCTCTGTCCCAATTCCAACAGCTGGTAGGCAGACAAAAGTCCCAGGCCTCAAGACAGCTTGTGTGGTTCTGAGACCCCAAGAGCTTATTCCTGAAGAGTGAGGCATGATGTGGCACTCACTTATTGGTGACATCAAATTCCTTGCAGTCCCAGAAAAAGGAGAGGTCAGCCAGAGCAAACGCCACCCCCAGCCCAGCAGCACCTCGGCACCACCACTACCCTTGCTTTCCCCTTATTGGCCTTACTTTGCTGAGTGAGGGCAGGTCTCTCCTGAGGAGGGGTCCTGGCAGCCCACCCAGGCAGCCGGGCCTCCCAGGCCGTGATGTAGAGCTCCTGTCAGCTGACTACTAAGGCCATTCTGGACCAGTTCCTAGGACAACGGAGTCTGGGGTTTGGCTCCTGGCTTGAGGAGCTGGGCAGGAGCCAGAGCTTGGCACGGTGTGAGTACAGAAGCAGCAATGCAGTGATGTTAGGGAGAGAAGCACTTTTCCTGAGGGAAGAGCTCACAACGGAGTCTGGGGTTTGGCTCCTGGCTTGAGGAGCTGGGCAGGAGCCAGAGCTTGGCACAGTGTGAGTACAGAAGCAGCAATGCAGTGATGTTAGGGAGAGAAGCACTTTTCCTGAGGGAAGAGCTTGTGGGCTGGTACCCGGGGAGTGATTTGGGTTTCTTCCCCCCTCACAGAGCAGCTGGCTTCACTGCTGAGAGGGTCATATTTCCTCTCAGCTATGGGATGGGGCTGCCCAGACGTTGTGTTTCAGAAACAGTTACAACTTGGTTTTAGAAATAGATCGCTGGGTTTGGGTTTGGGTTTGGGGAGATGGGGGAGATGGGTATTCTGGGTTTTGCTTTCTTTTCAGCTTTTTAGACATGGAAGAGCTGCGAGTCAG